AAGCCAGTGCATAGCCTTTGGTGGGGGGCGGGGGGAGGATTGATATCTATGTATCCTGAACAATACAGCTCTCCTCCTGTCCCCTTTAGCATTGTGCAATGTTCATGTTATAATACTAAGTCACAACGTGTAATGAGGGAAAGAGAAATGGAACTTAATGCTTATGTGCTCTATCGATTCTTTCAAAAACAATTTCTTGAGCACCTGTTGTATGCCTGGTACTGTGTTGGGTGCTAGGAATATAATTGTGAACACTATTGACACTGTAATTCCCCTCAAAGAGTTTATAGTCAAGTAAGGAGGAGTTTTCAGTTTTGCTTCTTAAATAAACAGTCTTTTGAAAAAATAAAATAGCAACATAAATAGGAATTATAAAATCTGAAAAAATAAAAGCATGTGAAAAATAAAAAGGCAAAACTTGCCATTCAAATATTTAGAGAAATAATTTAATATTTATGTATAAGGCAGGCACAGTTAAAATAGAAGGGAAAAATATATTTTTAAAGACTTTTTTTTTCTAGCCCAGCTGGTGTGGTTAAGTGTCGACTTACAAACCAGGAGGTCAGGGCACATCCCCAGGTTGTGGGCTCAATCCCCAGTGGGAAGTTTTGCAGGAGGCAGCCAATCAATAACTTTCTCTCATCACTGATGTTTATCTCTCTCTCTCTCCCCCTCTTCCTTCCTCTCTGAAATCAATAAAAAATATTAAAAAAAAATTTTCTAAACTCATATTCTTGAAAAGGCTTCAACAGAGAGAAATAATTAAGCAAATTTAAAAGTTTTATTTCTTGTTATAACCCAGCTACAAAGGCTATGTTTTATCCACCTAAAGGCATTTCCACATGAAGGTATTGACTCAGTTTCTCCGGTTCTAGTGGAACTCTGAGTTTCAAGAAGAAAAACAAAGTCTATTAAAACTGCATACAATTTAAAAACAAATGGTGACTATACAAACATGAAATAAAGGTAGAGTCAATTGGCAAACAACGTAATTGTTGTGTGTGTGTGTGTGTGTGTGTGTGTGTGTGTGTGTGTGTGTTGTGTGTGTGTGATTAGCTTCATAGTGGAAGCTGTGCTAGTAGTGGTAATATGTATACAAATGTCCACAGACCATCCTGGGGAAAATAGGTCAAAGCCAGACAAGTTCATACACACCTAGTTTTATGATGAAAGATGCTCATTAACTACTTTAGTGTTTACCATGAGAACTGCCTTCTTTAGGTCATGGCTCAACTTCACCTTATTTGTACCTTTCCCTGCACACCCCTTCTCCCAACCTGGAGTTAGCTTCAGACCTGGAGTGTGACGTCCCTGTCACTATCATGAGCCATACACCATTAACTGCCACAAGAGAAAAGACACTGGAACAGGGGAATAAGGGGCTGGGAAAAGGGTATGGGTAGGATGGATAGATAGGAAGTGCTAATAAGCGAGGAGCAGAAGCAAGTGCCATTTCGATGTCCTCAGAACCCCCTGCCACCTTAGACCGAAGCAGAAGCTGTGACCTCTGTCTTCTGAAGGAGGGATGGTAAAACTGGAGCAACGTGCTATGGGACTGGCCAGCCCCGCTCCGCTCTTTGCTCAGTGGCACAGAGCCTGGGCAAATTTGTGGCTATGAGGCAATGGTGGCATATGAGACACCCAGTGCTTTTGATTCATGCTTATCTTTATGACAGTTCATCTCTGCTCCTACCATGGACCAGCTCAAGGATGAATTATACCAGGTATCACTTTATTTCCTTTATATTATTAATTTTTTAACCAACTTAACAAAAATTACACGAGGTGCACCACTGAGCCAGAAAAAGTCAGGACTGCCCAGTGAATGGAATCCAGTAGAGCCTGATGCTCAGTTGGGTGAGGGCCAAAGATATTCATAAGATCTACACTAATAAAAGAGAACCTGTGGACCAATCATATAGCCTGGTGTACCTTTTAAAACCATGGGAAAGATATGGATTTTGTCCATAAAATAAAAATCCTTACTTTAGAAATGCATTAAAAGGTACACTTTTATTAGAAATGAAAACAGTCACTTGTTTTGCCTTGACAGTCACCTTCATCATTGATATTCATTTCATGATGAGAATTCTGCAGACAAATGAAGGTCAAAGCTACCCTAAACTCCACTTGGGAGGAACACTATTATTTTTTTAAATGTTATCAATGCACACATATGTAGACATATAAATATTTATACAGAAACCTCCTGCCTAGCCAGCGAACAGAAATGGGAATAGAATGATGTGCTCTGGGAATCCTCCCTGTGTGACTGGACTTGCAAATCAGGAATGCATTGTGTTTCTTTTGCCATCCCTACCACTGTGGCTAATGAGGAACGGTGAATATTTCATATAACATGAGCAGAAAGGGACTTTGGATTCTACCCAGTTTATAGAAAGGAAAAGATGAGAGGCCCCGGGAAGTAAGGTGACTTAAGATCACATTACTTAGTTAAACCTAAAACCTAGTTTTCTTGACTCTCAATCCAATCCGACTTCTGTGATATGGGAAGTATAATCAGAGTAGTAATCTATGGTATAGGGAGAGGTAAAACATTATCAGGTTGGCTAGTAGAAGCAGAAGACATTACAGTAGTAAATTTAGGAGAAACTATGAAGGTTAACCAGACCGAGGAGAAAAAGAAAGGCCATAGGCTGAAGTCTGAAAATATTTCTATTTCCCTAAACCACAAGAGTAAGGCAGGTAAGTGCACAGTAGAAATTCAACCCAGAAGAGTCAGGGTCTTTGGATAAAGCTGCACCATGCATTTGATTCCCCAAGCTGCCCTAGGAACTGGACCCCACCTTATTGCTCAAAAGAAATAAATCCAGATAAAAACTAACCAGTAAATAGAGGCAGAGTCACATATGATGTAGGAGACACTATCTTGAAGGAAAGTCTGGGGAGGAGTTGGATGAAACTGGGTCACAAACAACAACGGGAAAGAAAATGATTTATGGCTGACTTTTGCCTGAAAATTGCAAAGCAAGCTTCTAGGTCTTATTGGTCTGTTGCTTCTCCCCTGATTTTATGAGGAAGCAACTTACCATACTGTCTTAGTCTATCCAAGCATTGGCCATTGGAAGGAAACTCCAGATGCTCTGGAACCTCATGCTCCTGGGGTTCCATGGAAGAATCTTGGGTCAATGAGCCACCCTTGCCATCACTTCACGGACTGGGCCCAGCGAGGGGATGAGAGCCCACAACATGAATAACAATAATAAAGCATTAGGCCTGCATTCCACTTCCACATGTTTGTTGTGTTTGTTTGTTTGTTAATTATCACCCAAGGATATTTTTTTCATTGATTTTTAGAGTGGAAGGGAGGGAGGGAGAAAGAGAGAAACATCAATGTGAGAGAGACACATTGACTGATTGCCTCTTGCATGTGCTCCCAGGAACAGGATTGAACCTGCAACCTAGGTACATGCCCTTGACTGCGAATCAAACCCATGACCCTTCAGTGCACTGGCCGATGCTCTAGCCATTGAGCACACAAGCCAGGGCCCACTTCAGCATTTTAAATCTTATCACAGGGCCACATATTTAATCTTTACAGGAAACCTGTAACACAGGTAGAAATTATTCATCCCTTTTAAGAAACGTGTGCACCAAGGCTCAGAGAATTATGTATTGCTGTGGAAGGTCAAACCACTGGTAGCAAGGTCTGAGGATCTGCATTTCCGATCCAATTCTCCATTTTAGTGAACAGATTCACTACAGAATGGAGTCAAAATCCACAATTAATGCAGAGATTTTTCAAAAGGCAGCACCTCAAATTCCACAGAAAGTGTACATTTAAAGTTCACATAGTTCCTTCTAAATAATTTTTTCCAATGGAAATAGAAATTTTTTACATGCGTCAGCCTGGTCTCAATGGCTGGTTTATTCTAATTACGATTTCTAGTGAGTGCAAATAAATCACTTCTCAAATTTAGATTTTAAAGTTAATGGAATGGGATGCATCTGGTAATTTGTTCTGTTAACATTCTATAATTGAACAGAGGTGGGAGGAGGCTCAAAAACAGGCTATACAAACCCTTTCATGGTTACTTAATACTCTTGCAGGATGATCACAATAGCAGCAGTTAAGATATCACTGTTTCTTGTTCCCTGAAAACCTTCCTCTAGGTAAGAAACAAAGCTATCAATGGAAACACAGTGATGGTTTTGACAATCTACCTGTGGTCCCTGGAACACATCTGTAGGGGCACATCCATCCCAATTCTTGTTTATGTTGGGTATCTTCATTCCTTTGGTAGGGCTCATTGTCAAGTGATAGATGAATAAAGCTAATTAGGATTAACTATACTTATAAAAGGTGTCAATGAATGTTAAAGTGTCCCATATTTATGAGAGTTATGCTCTTTGCACTTCAAGATTCTCTTATAAACATATAGGTCATAGAGCCTTTTAGTACATACTGTGTTTAATTAAGCCAATGGTTAAAAACAGAAGCTACTTTCCTAACAGATGAGCTCAGCATGAGATATAATTTGTGTATTTGTTGCAGGCATATAATAATAAAGACTAATAATACATGAAAGATTAAAATATACAACTCTCAGAACTCTTAGTTACTACTATTAAGTCAGGTTCGATGAGCAAAACAAATATGAAAAACTATTTTAAAAGTCCATAAAGAATATTTAATGTGGTTTTTTGAGACAGGCCAGACAACATTCCTTACCTAAAATTTGCACATGGTAAAAACAACAACAAACATAATTTCACAGGTAATAACTTTCTATTAATTTCATGAATGTGTATATGTTTGTATATACATGTAGCCCAGGAAATAGCCATCAATATTACAATTGTATTTTTTCCCTAAGGTAAACAGATATTACATATTATCTGGACTTACCTATACCCATGAATGTGTTCCACTCAAAACAGAGGTAACTATGTTCTCTAAACCATCAAAAGTGATGTCTATCCCACATGTGAACATGTCTTCTATCGGCTATGAAATGGGTGAAGTTAAAATTTCTTACCATCCAAGCTGTGACAAAGTCCCCCATCCAGGTCCCCACAGCAGCTACCTTCATGAAACTCTCATTCCGGATGCCCATATAGTCTGTAATGATATATGCTCTGTGGAAACAAACACACAAGACATTGTCCAGACTCAGAGAGACATACAGTCAAAGCCGCCGGGCTCAGCAACATGCAAAGCGACTTTTCCTCTCCCGGTAAGCTTTCCTGCTTCCTCTCTCCACATGCACTCACAAACCTGAGAGGCTAGGACGGGCTCTGAGGTGTGTGGGTCAGTTCCAATCAGGCTTGAAAGACTGTGACTATGCCAACTACCATCTGCATTCCATTTTGAGCTGTGAGACTGACAACAGCTTTTGGAAAATCAAACAGAAATACTCAGCAAAGGCATCATTTCATGCTCACTCAAGCATGAGGAGAGCAGAAACAACTGTCGAATTAGAGTAACTTGAAAGGAAAGAGAAGAGCTCACTTTCCTTCAGTCTGTCAAGTCAGGACTATCGGAGAGGTGCTGGGATGAGGCTTCAGATATAACACCTGAAAAATGTTCAGAATAATGTCAAGATTTGGGGGAAATTTCCACACGATAAAGCAGTGTAAAATGTGCTTCAAAGATATCTACTTTAAATTATTACTTAAGTAACACTAGCCAGAAGATTTAATGTCATCACTCCTTTTGTTTAGCTAACTCTGCTTGCTAACACCAATTTGTACTCTTTACAGGTCAAGGAGAGAGTCAAAGGTACAAGTAATGAGACCATGCTTATTGTTTACTCTGCATTTTCATTTCCATTTTCTCCTTTGATAATTAAGAAAATCCTAAGTATTATTTTCCCATTTTTTAATTTCTCAGAAAACTGCGACTCAGAGAGATCAGTTAACTTGCCTAATCAATACCACATAACTAATGAATGTAGTTAGGAACTAAATATCATTCTCTCTCCTCTCTCTCTCTCTCTCTCTCTCTCTCTCTCTCTCTCTCTCAAATTTGTTCCTCTCAGATTTTTTTACTTTAAATTGTGTTCCTTTTTCTTTATATGGTAATACCTGTACAGTTTAGAGTACTAGTTGAACCTGATTCTTCTTAGATCAGTGGTTCTCAACCTTCCTAATGCCACGACCCTTTAATACAGTTCCTCATGTTGTGGTGACTCCCAACCATAAAATTATTTTCGTTGCTACTTCATAACTGTAATTTTGCTACTGTTATAAATCGTAATGTAAATATCTGATATGCAGGATGTATTTTCATTGTTACAAATTGAACATAATTAAAGCATAGTGATTAATCACAAAAACAATATGTAATTATATATGTGTTTTCTGATGGTCTTAGGTGACCCCTGTGAAAGGGTCATTCGACCCCCAAAGGGGTCACGACCCACAGGTTGAGAACCACTGTCTTAGATTAACTTTAAAACAACACATAGTAAAGAATGATATGTTTGTCATTTATCTACTAAAAGTATGAAGAAACACATATTTTGAAGCCTTGAGAGGCAAGCCATCTCCAGGTCAGTCACTTATTTTCTGGGATTATTTCAGATAGTTTTTGTAATCCATAAAATAAACAGATAATGAAATAATTTTATTTAATAACAAAAGCAAACTTATGAACTTTAAAAATCAACTCTCTTTCGATATGCTTCATTCACCTACCTTGGAGGGTCTGCATAAATCTCTTAAAGTCTCACCCCAAAATTCTGCATGTCTAACTCCATGGCTTTCCATAGAAGCCAAAAAATTTATCGCTGCCATAAAGTGCATGCTTCCCCTGTGCCAGAGATCGTTATTAGCACTTTAAATACTATGTCTCCACATGTCAGCACAATGACATGTATTATTATTCTTGTTTCACTGACATGGAATTGAGGCTTTAGAGCAGCGGTTCTCAACCTGTGGGTCGCGACCCCTTTGGGGGTCGAACGACCCTTTCACAGGGGTCGCCTAAGATCATTGGAAACACATATATAATTATATATTGTTTTTGTGATTAATCACTATGTTTAATTATGTTCAATTTGTAACAATGAAAATACATCCTGCATATAAGATATTTACATTACAATTCATTACAGTAGCAAAATTACAGTTATGAAGTAGCAACGAAAATAATTTTATGGTTGGGGGTCACCACAACATGAGGAACTGTATTAAAGGGTCTCAGCATTAGGAAAGTTGAGAACCACTGACCTAGAGCTATGTCTGCATATAGAAAGTGATCAACATTTGCTTAATGTATGAATTAATGAAATGACCCCAATTCTTCACATTTATTTCTATATGGCATGGGTAGACCTATGCATAGTAAACCCTAGAAGCAGAATAAAATGAGACTGAGTCATGAAGGACGGTTCCACAGAGGAAGACATTAAACATATTTTTAAACTATTTTGCGTGTTCACTTTATTTCTCCACTGACATTTATATCTCCTTGACCGCAGGATAGCTGTCCCATGACCATCTACAATGACGTATCAGCACAAATCAAAGATAGGCCCTTCCCCTGTGGCTGTGGGCAGGTGGTGAGAACTGGATCCTATGATAACAATGCAGATGAGACAGCACAGGGAATTTATGAAATAACTAATATATTTAAAAGTGACGAGGGACATATAAAAGTTAGTAGTTAATCTTATTTTTGCTGATTTGGAAAAATGTAAAGAATTACAAATATGCAGACCTGTCAAACTTTTTTCAATTATTAGTTTACTGATTTGCATATCCCTTAACATTTAACTATATTTCCTGCTTAGGTTGTAAAGGACAAGGCATGCATACATTTACATCAGCAATTTGAACCAGTTTGAATATTACATTGGACTCATAACGTTGTGAGACTTTATACCCAATGATATTAGGCAGTGGTTCTGAATTAAATTTAATTGCTAGGAGGCACCATTAAAGTTTGAGTTTGGTTTGGAGTTTTTACCTAATTATTTCAACTATTCACACATCTTTTGCATTGTTTTGTATTTTAGATGATTATTTCTACTATGCATAGTTCTGAAACATTTTGCAGTTCTATCAGCCTTCCAAGTTAATATTGGTCACTAAACTTTTCTTTAAAAATTCTAGATGAATTTTTTTTCAGGCTACAACTTCAGGTTTTATGTCTTCTTGAGATTCCAAGCTTACCTGTCAATTCATAACAAATGTGTAGAAAATTTCAAACTACAGGATCTTGGAAAAGTTCATAATTATCTTAGCCTATAAACATGAGCTACCAAGACTACTGTAGCTCTCTCTCCACCATGTGAGGATACAGCAAGCAGGCAGCCATCTATAAGCCAGGAAGAGAGCTCTCACCAGAACTCATCCATGCTGGTACCCTGATCTCAGACCCCCAGCCTCCTGAACTGTGAAAAATAAATGTCTGCTGTTTAACTCAGAAAAAGAAAAAAAAAGACTATTGCACCTAAATGGTCATAAACTAAACAGACTCTACTATGAGCTAAATAGTCAATAAAACTGTAATACAATCACTCTTACAGGTGAGTCATGATCACTAGCAAAAAAAAGGTTCAATTCACTTCAGCCTGTTATTTATATGTAAGTGGATGCAATCATTGCCAGGTGATTTATGAGTTGAGTCTCTGAAAGTTTAACAGGAGGCAGTAAGCATAGATCACCAAACCAATACTGATTCATGCTTCACTGAGGATCCATCTGTGGCCAGATGGTTTCATCATGTCTCAGCTGTCTCTCCCAGCCATGTTTGGGCAACATAAACAATACGGGGGGCTTCACACATAAGTAAATCATGAATAAGGAGTTGACTTACATGATTACAGATCTGCATTAAACACAATGAAACAAAACAAAAAAACTCTAAACATCCTGACAACATTGAGGTACAATTGGTCACTACAAAACTTCAGGAGTTAAATCTAGATTTATTATATTAACCTTTTCTCTTTTTGTGTTTGTAATGAAAATAGTAACAGCCTTTAATCTAGTCACTTAGTCAACTATTATCCAAATAACCACATTTTAGTATTTTGCTCAAAATTCCTAGCTCTTGATTTTGGAAAGGATTTGATAGAGCTCAATGTATGTGTATGGACCTTCCAGGAAAGACCTGGCGTATGAAGCTATAGAGCAAAATCCATTGAAATGTCAAAATGCTGCAGACAATTGTTAGAAGTAGCCTGAAATGATTAAAATTGCAACTGGAATTAATATTGCTTATAGATAAAATACCACCTCAAATTCCCCAACTTTAGCCATTCATCCCTTCTAATTTCTATGAAGAAGTCAGATATAAAAAGACTGTAGATGGAGTTTTCATTGAACAACTCCACCAAACTTCAACTATACTTTTCATTCCTTACCTAGCTTTAACCCATTCCGTGAATTTCACTTATATTAGATGCAGAAACCTTAGTATAACATCAATTCCTCCATCTCCTTTAATCTCAACATTTGAGTCACTAAGGTTACGTCTGAAGGGCTCTCAAATCTATGGTGTTTGTCTTTCATCATCATTACCAATGTCTTGACTCCTTTCATAATCTTCTCTGTTCTGAATTACACAGTAGTCGCCCATTTTTCTGTGACTGTCTAATCTTCTCTGTTCTGAATTACACAGTAGTCGCCCATTTTTCTGTGACTGTCTCCCCTTATAGAATATCTATGGCCACTAGAGTGACTTCTAGAGTTGTCATGTGGTATGACAGGGGAGCAGGAGTCCTGGAACCAGAAAGTGCTGGGCTTGCAAACAACCTCCCCACTCTAACCTAGGACAAATGATCAACTCAGTCACCACCCAGTCCCTCATCTGTAGAACAGGGATTTAAAAATACCTTCCCTTCACAAGGGTTTCTTGAGGATTAAATAAATTATTTAAAGCTTCTAACAACTATTGATAATAAGCATGTTAAAAAATGGTTGCTCTTTGGCCTCCTGATTCCTACCTTCTAAAATAATTATAGGCCCTGTCTGGTTTGGCTCAGTGGATAGAGCTTCGACCTGCGGACTGAAAGGTCCCAGGTTCGATTCCAGTCAAGGGCATGTACCTTGGTTGCAGGCACATCCCCAGTGGGGGGTGAGCAGAAGGCAGCTGAACGATGTTTCTCTCTCATCGATGTTTCTAACTC